TAGCATTACTTTATTCAAATTCTCAACAAGGCAAGGTTCATAACGAACATGCAATTACGTTCGGAGATGGGACAAATGAAAACCTTGAAGAGAGAAATATTATTATTTTCCAGCAACTAAAGATACCTGGAAGATATTTATCTGCATTATATTATCAGATATGATAATATTCCTACCGAGAGAGTCACTTATATCGTATTGTCAAATGAGATGATACCACTACTCCGAGGGTCATTTTTATTTATATTGTCGATTGAGACGATATCACTACCCGGAGATTCATTTATATCGTATTGTCAAATGAGATGATACCACTACTCCGAGGGTCATTTTTATTCGTATTGTCGAATGATCGGATACCACTACCCAGAGAGTCATTTATATCGTATTGTCAAATGAGATGATACCACTACTCCGATGGTCATTTTTATTCGTATTGTCGAATGAGACGATATCACTACCCGGAGAGTCATTTAAATTGTATTGTCAAATGAGATGATACCACTACTCCGAGGGTCATGTTTATTATATAGTCAATTCAGACGATACCGTCATCCCAAAAGATACCCAGAAGATCACATATGTTACTCGGTGAAGCATTATCTTCATTTGGTATCAGGGAGGCATCATCAAAACAAATCATGCATCGCGAGAAAAGCTTCATGCATAACAAGAGAGTAGACTCATGAATAGCAAGAGAAAGAAATCATGCATCGCTGAAAAGAAATCATGCATCGCGAGAAAAGCTTCATGCATAGCAAGAGAGAAGACTCATGCATAGCAAGAGAAAGAAATCATGCATCGCGGAAAAGAAGTCATGCATCGCGGAAAAGTCATGCATTGCGAGAGAGAAGACTCATGTATAGCAAGAGAAAGAAATCATGCATCGCGAAAAAGAAGTCATGCATCGCGGAAAAGTCATGCATTGCAAGAGAAGATTCATGCATTGCGAGATAAAGATTCATGCATTACAAGAGAAGATTCATGCATCGCGAAAAAAGATTCATGCATCGCAAGAGAAATGAGTTATGCATCACAAGAAAAAGATTTACCCATTACAAGAAAATCAACATCGACTGCATCATTTTTCTTTGCAAAAACGACATCAAAAGAACTATCAACATATTACACCAGTTTAGTTTATTGCTTTGACGTCAAAGGAAGAGTACACTGAATATTATAATGCAAATATGAAACATAAGCTTTATTTGCTTTACGTCAAACCCGATGGAGTTGACGTCAAATGTTCAAGGAGAACAATTAAATGTCAACACGGTAAAAGACACTATCTCCCATTTGAAATGCATTTTTGTGCTAATGAGTTTTATCTCAACCCTTGTCGAGAGCATCCGAGAGGATGAATTCTCAAAACAAACCACAGGTGCGGACGACATCAATTAGGATGCAGTACAACGTGGAAATTTTTCTTAGCAGCGAACTGGGACATAGTCCAAAGAGGAGTGCCAAACTCTTAGGACGCGAGCAGAGGAGCGACTTCCACTACAATCAAAACACACCTCCATCAGAAGGCATGTGGGTATTTCTTAGATTTATCAGTCCCTGTTTTGCATCCGGAATATTTTGGGTTCACCGAAAGCAACTTTCTAATCTGAGTGACAATAAACCAAGAGTTTTGGAAATCATGTCCGTGTAAGTTCTTACTTATGGATGTGAAGAGCTCCACATTCGTGGTTAAGAGGTTGCAAGCCTCTTTTTCATACTCGACTCATTTGTCACTCTTCCAGAACCAAGGGTTATCTAACATAATAGATTTCATTTTTCAACCGATCGAGTCGAACTATAAACAGCCTGATTCCTAAGGTCAAAGGATATGTAAACTGGATCAATGATGAAAACTCAGTTGTATTCCGACACCCTCTCTCAAATCTTATTCTCAAGCATTTCGGTCTCTTCATAATCTGATATCGGGATGACATTTGAATTTTTTCAAATCGTGCGTCAAATCAAGTGTATTAAACTACAAGTGGCCTAAATTCTCATATAGCCTAAGATATGTAGGAAACCTATTTCTGGGGTCCGGCCATAATTCCTAAATTCCGTACCAAAATACCTTTCCAAAAGGATGAAGATGTGTTCGGTCAAAACTGGATTTGTCAATTTCGTTTGCCTCGAATTTCTTTCATCAATCCAAATCAAACGAGGGACAACCAACATCAACAATTCTTCTAATTTCAAATTTCCAGCCTCGACCTCCGGATACATTTGATAGAGTAGATTTTTGGGTTATGTTTCTAGGACCTATAAAAGTGATGGAACTATCCGCCAGTAAGTACCTGAACACAATTGTGGAAAACAGTTACATTATCCAATACCAACATGCGCTTAAATTGAATAATTAGGCATCGTTGTTTCACATAAAACAGCAACAGATCTCCATTATTTACAGCATCAATTCCAACAAATGGATTTGGAGTACACTCTTTAGTTCCGAGATGCTACTGTTCACGATAGCTAGGCGGTCAGTGACGGTTGTGATGACCGTTTCATTACAAATTTTCATAGTGTAAGAGCTCGCTTGGATCAGCCAAGGAAGAGGCAACTGCTCTGACATTTTATCTCTTAATACTCCCTCCGTCCACAATTGTTTGATAGGGTAAGGTCATGCACATTCCTCAAGGAAAATTTAATACAATGTGTAATTTGACTAATATAACCCTACCATACCAAGAATATCAAAAGTCCACATGACTTTTCAATTGAACTACACTATCATTAAGAGCAGAATTGGAAAAAAGTGACTAATTATTTCTTGATTATTTAAATTGACAATTAATCTTGGACATCTATTTTTAGTATACCTGCTAAACAATTGTGGACGGAGAGAGTATATACTCCCTCCGTCCACAATTAATTGTCATGGTTTCCTTTTTTAGAGTCAAACAATAAGAACTTTGACCAACATTTTACGATGTATATTTTCATCATATTGCTATGCAAAAAATTGCAACTTATAGTACTTTTCGTATAGTTTTTGAATATCTAATTTTTTTTAAAAAAAATATTAAATTAACGTAATCTAATTTAACTTAAATAATTAATTAAATTAACTTTTGAAAAACACAACATGATAAATAAAAGTGGACAGATGAAGTATATCGGTAACTTGGACCATACCAAACGTTACATTTTCTTGTTGAAAAATGTAGCGTCCTTTATATCTTCACCTAGGTAAAGGTAGAGAGATGAAGTGATTTTCCAAGGGCTTTATGTTTGCTCTATTTCTTTATATCGTTCACATTCACGGTTCTGCAGGGATCGTCCAACATTAATTAGGCATGCAGCACCATTTATAAAGCTAGAAAACTTTTTCTTTTTACTTTAATTTAAGTTTAACTCATTAGATTTAGTAATATACTCTCTCTGTTCAACAATAGTTGTCAACTATACTATTTTGAGATATTCAACAATACTTGTTCACCTTATAAAATTAATGAATAATTTTATAGTTAGTTCCTAATTTATCCTTATCATTAATTATAGTTATTTTTCTATTATATTTTTTCAAGATATATTTAAAAGGTGATATCGTAAAATTATCCTTCTATTTATAGTTTCTTAACAAGTGTGTAAAATTAATAGTAGACAACTATTGTTGGACAAAGAGAGTATTATTCACATAATATAAAAATATAAATGTGTGTTTTTCATATGACCATTTATAAATTGAATAGAAAAAAAAAATCTTTTCAAATCTCTTATGTGGAAAAATAAAAATATCTCATAAAAAAAAAAACATATTCGCTATAGTCCTTTGATTAGAAAAAAATAATCAAATTTACCTTTGACATATGTGAAAGAGTTAATTTTGCCCCCAAATTATGTGAAAGATTTATATTTATCATCTGTTTAAAAAAATAATAATCCTTAAATAGTGTGACATATGAAATCATCAGGTGCTAAGCTTCTCTCTTTAAAATTCATGACAAATTTATTCTAGCATGGATAAATTTGACCTCAACTATTAGAGGAGACAAATCTATTTCATTTTGCATAGTCCAATAACAAATTCGATCATTTACCCTTTGAAATTTACGAAGATAGAATTGAAAAACATATTTAAAACACTTTTTCAAATTTAAAGTATAACTCCACGTTGAATTGAAATTTTTTATAATCACTGATTTTTAAAAAAAAACAAAAAACTATTCCAAAAAAAAAAAAGTAAATAATTCTCATCTCCAAAGCAACTCCTAAAATTAAATGACTAATATTTAGGTCTATTTTAATTTAAACTAGAAATACACAAAATCTCATCCAATAAGCCCTAAAATAATATTACCATCAAAATCTGAAATTTAGCCAGAAAGAAATAAAAGAGAAAAGACCCAAAATAGTCCCTCATCTTTAGATTAAAATTCAAAGTCATCATTTATATTTCACATAGAGCATTAATAGTCTCTCATGTTTACAATATTGGTGCACTTTTGGTCTCACCGAAAGTGCACCAATATTGTAAACATGAGGGAGGAACTATTAGGGGTCGTTTGGTTTGAAAATGAGTTATGATGGGATAAGTTATGTTGGGATAAGTTATGTTGGGATTAGTTATGATGGGATAAGTTGTGTTGGATTATTTTTTATTGAGTGTTTGGTTTGTTGTATTCAAAATAATAAATTTTAAGAACAATTTATTTGTTTACAAAAATGCCCTTCATTAATGTAAAAAGTGATATAACAAAAGGGTTGAAAGAGACATTTTTGTCATTTACCTATTTTATCCCGGGATAAGTTATCCCGGGATTACTATACCACCCAAGGAGAGGGATAACTTATCCCGGTACTAATTATTAATCCCGGGATAAGTTATCCCGAACTTGCCAACCAAACAACAAAATAAGCGATACTATAATTTAATCCCGGGACTATTTGGTATTATCCCTCACACCAAATGACCCCTTAGTGTTACATGTGAAAAGTGGAGTCTTTGAGTCTTTAACTATTTTGGAACTTTTCTCGAAATAAAACAAGAAAGAAAGAAGTCTCCTCTTTCATTTCGAAAATGGGGGTTTCTAATTGGCTTCTGATCGGTGCTGCTATTGCCGTAACGTTGTTAATTGCTCAAGCAATAAGGTTACTGTTACTGGTAATCAATGGCCGGAGAAACAGAAAGAAGGCTGTCGGGATCTTCCACCCATACACCAACGACGGAGGTGGTGGAGAACGAGTCTTGTGGTGTGCCGTCAAAGCTATCCAAGATGAAAACCCAAATCTAGATTGTGTAATATATACAGGAGATTTCGATGCTTCTCCTCACAGTCTTACTGCTCGTGCCCTTGATCGATTTGGAGTCAAATTAATCCACCCTCCTAAGGTAATCCCTTTACTTCTCCTGTGTTTAAATAAGTTAGATTAAGAAAAATCGTGCTGAAAATTTAAAATATTGAACTCGTCGTATATAGAAAAAACAGAGTTTTATCAGTAATAACTTGATAAATAAATTTATTGCTCCCTCCATTTCAATTCAAGTGTATTAGCTTAACTATACATGGAATATAAGGAAATAAGGGAAATTTTTTATCTTGTGGTCTCAAGATAAAGATGTGTGCAAGTGTAATGCACCAAATGCGCTTTGAATCTGGTGGTCACATGTTGGAATTAGAAAGTTCCAAATATTGAAAGACATATAAATAAAAAAAAAACAGATTTAAAACACTTAAATTAACAAGGATGAAGTATGTATAATGATACTTGCTATGTTTTGAGGCCTAAAGCATTGGACTTACTCGCCTTACCATCTTGCGGGGACGGTTCTTTCTTTTCATTTTGTATGATAGTTTTTGACTAGATATGATTGTAAGACGCTAATATGACTTGCGTATGATATCACTGATGGTGGAAAAGTTTTGATTTGATAGGAAATGTTATGTTTAAGTTTAAAACTTTATTGTATGGTAATTAAAAAAGTTTAATGAATTTGAATTCTTAAAAGTTGTGAATGTAGAATGAAATTGGAATAGTCTCAAAACATTTTGGAAAGTCACAGATAGAAGATCGCTGTATAAATTGTAAAAGAGAGGAGGGAGTATTTCCTCGAGGTTTTAAGAAAGTGTGTCTATTTCATCCACATGCCATACTTTGTAATAGCATTAGTGTTTAGGTGTGATGATGGAAGCTTTGTTCCAAATATCCAGCATTAGGATGGATCGATATTCCTTCTGTTTAGCTATACAAACAACTTCCTATTTCTCTTTTGCCCGTGTTTTCGTTATCTTCTTCCCCTCACCCCCGCCCATGTCTCAAATCCCACCGCTTCTTTACTACAGTAGAGTATCAAGTGTTTGTAGTTATTAGGGGAACTCCTAGCTTCTTGACAGGCATTTTGTTAGCATGGATTTCAACATTACCATGTAGTCTTTCTGCTTCCTCTATGTTGGATTTTCTAGACTTTACCCCTAATAACACATTGAAATCCTCCTGCTCATTCTTTAACAATAAGCTTCTAATCTATTTTGATTTGTACTTATTATTTATGCATGTTAGTTTGTACTTTGAGATATCTATATTGTACACTCCTTTTACCTGTGTTGCTGCATTTTGTGTTTCTTTTGTTGATGCTTCATCACTGGCATATGTTTGATGGTGGTAATCACTATCACGTATAAAACCCTGTACAAATGATTGTTGCATAATGTCGTAGTTCGGAATTCACATTCAATGTCATTTTTGCTCAAGATTACTGATATCCTGCGCATCAGGTGGTCCATTTGCATAGGAGAAAGTGGGTCGAAGAAACCACTTACCCTCGTTTCACAATGATTGGTCAAAGCCTTGGATCAATTTACCTTGCTTGGGAAGCTTTGTGCAAATATACACCCTTATATTACTTTGATACCAGTGGATATGCTTTTACTTATCCAGTTGCTCGTATATTTGGATGCAAAGTTATTTCCTATACTCATTATCCAACTATCAGTTTAGACATGCTGTCCCGTGTTCGTGGGCGCAGTTCAATGTACAACAATGATTCCTTTATTGCCAAGAGGTGAGTTCAACTACTTTATATCAGCATCTGCCATCTATAGGATTTCATGATAAGACGTCACTTGGGTGGAAGTTTTTGGTGGTATTACGTGGAACTAAGCACCTTAAGGTTTGTCTCCTTGTTGAAACAAAAAGGAAAAAAACCCTAATTAGCTTTGCGAGCCATTTTTGTTGTCTGTCAACTAAGTGGTGCCAAGGTCCCCTACAAGAAATTGTTGATCTGCTTGTATCTTTTATCTTCCCAAATCATTATTAACAATTTTTTCCACTAGACTTTGTCACATGTATGCATATATCTTTATCAAATTAATGTGTTCATACACTAACTGGCAGTCATAAGAAGATATGTTGGCATATTATGGCTAGATGTTACTCTGATTCTCAGTGAACTGTACATCTAGATGTTTTAGCGAGTCTTGTGAAATTATATATTCAAGTGACTGAATTTGACAAGCTTGTAAATTCTTTGCTTTTCATCTGCTTGTATTGTATCTGTGCATGAAGCTAATGAAATTGCTTTTCTGGCAGTGCAATACTATCCCGGTTCAAGGTCATTTATTATGCATTATTTGCCTGGCTGTACAGTATCGTTGGTTCTTGTGCACACCTTGCAATGGTTAATTCTTCATGGACTCAATCTCATATTGAGAAGCTGTGGGGAATACCAGCTCGAATTAGGCGTGTGTATCCTCCTTGTGATACTTCTGGGCTTCAGGTCTGTACTTTACTTGTTTGGTGTTAATATAGCCTTTCTTCCTCCTCCTGATGCCTAAACTTGTTAATGTTTTTCTCCTTTTCTGTAGATTTGTTTAATTTAATATCGAGGCTAATATTCTTACTATTAGCCTTTTCAATTCTTTTTTTAACTATAAGTATTGTCTTGCGTTTTGGAATTTATAAAGTATATGATGGGAGTAGGATGAATGTAATATCCAGACAGATTTCTCCTTTCAATCTTATTGGACTTTCATGGCTCTTTCTTTGGTGAAAATTTAAGGAAATGACATTACGAACTCCTCCTTTGAAGGTCTTAACAATTTTTGTTATAGTGTTTTGAGTCTGGGTTGGATTTTAAGAAGCTGCATTGTTGCATAATATAAGCCAAACATCGCGTTGCTCTTGACAGGTGCTTCCGCTGGAAAAGTCAATGAAGCCTCCGAAGATAGTATCTGTCGCTCAGTTCCGTCCAGAGAAGGTGGGCATTTTTATGTAGTCCTTGTGGAAATCAAGGTACCCATACTTGTGCAGATGTTTCAAGGAATATTGCAACCTTGATGTCCTGTAAAAAAAATTTTTTTTTCATGAGTTAGGCACACCCACTCCAACTTGAGGCATTTGCAGTTGCCATAAAAAAGTTAGACCAAGATCTGCCAAGGCCGAAAATCCAACTAGTGGGTAGTTGTAGGAATGAAGCGGATGAGAAAAGGTTGCAAAATTTGAAGGATCTAGCTATTAAATTGAATGTGGATGATCATGTTGAGTTCCACAAGAATGTCTTGTACAGGTTAGTACAACTCCATTTTGGTAGTCGGAAATTCTTGAACTCCAAGGCATGATTTTGTTAAACTGTCTGGACCAGACTTTTCTTTCATTGCTTGAAGCTATTTGTTAAGGCAAGAGTTCCATCTGGGACGGAACTTTTTGCATTGGTTACCTCCTCCCAAAAGAAAAACTAATTTAAAAAATTTAAAAATTGGCTGGATATTCAGGTCATTGTAATACACAGAGAGAAGTAATATTATGCATGGTTGTAAAAAGCTAACTAGACTTGATTGGATATCTTTAGTGCTGTTACCTCTCTGTGTGTTTAATCAAAGCTTTATTCTCATTTTTAATCTATTGTTGATGCAGTGATTTGGTCAGGCTTCTGGGTGGTGCTGTAGCTGGAATCCATTCCATGACAGATGAGCACTTCGGCATAAGTGTAGTGGAATACATGGCTGCTGGCGCTATACCAATTGGTTAGTCATGTTGTGTTGTTTCTCCTTCGCCCTGTATTTGACTTCTGTGAAAAAACACGGGAAAATATTATTAAGATGTATATCTACATTATTACAGTAAGTCCTATTTATAGTTATATTTTACATAGTACATAATAATCTTCTTCCATGTGGGACACTATATACATAATATTCTAAAACACACCCTCAAGTTGGTGCACGTAAGTCATATGTAACGAGCTTGTTACAAATGTAACTAATACGAGGATCAGTTAGGGACTTGGTGGAAATACATGTTAGCTGATCATTTTAACTTCCAAAGTTTGTTGGTTTCGTTCAGCTCATAATTCAGCTGGTCCAAGGATGGATATTGTGTTACCAGAAGATGGAAAGCAGACTGGATTTCTTGCCGAGAGCGTAGAGGAATTTGCTGAAGCCATCATTGAAGTCATTAAGATGCCAGAAAATGAGAGGTTGGACATGGCTGCTGCTGCAAGGAAACGAGCCTCCATGTTCTCAGAGCAAAGGTTTTATGAGGATTTTAAGGCTGCTGTACGACCAATCTTTTACAATGATAGTAAATGATTACAAAATCTTTGTTTTCATAAATACAAGAGATCAATTTTGTTCACCATAATTAGACTTAATCTTATCTTTTTTTTCTTGTTTGGTTTGCCTTATATTTTATAAAAATAGATGATATCTCAATTGCACTTACTGTTATCAAGAAAGTTGTTGATATAGCTAACTTCTGTAAAGTTTATTCTCCTAGATCTTCTTGGCTCGTAGTTGGTTAATGGGGTTGAGTTATTTGATGTTAGCTTGCATCACGTGTCTTTTCGTCAAAATTAAGGGCAAATTTGTGTTAAATATAATGAGAAAAAGTTATTTAGACCAAAAAGTATAATGAAAGTAAATATTTGATGACAAGAAATATATTTAAATCATCTTTAATAGTAGTATATTTGACCCTTTTTTGGAGAATAAATAATCATTTTCCCACTTTATGCCTATTAATATGTTTTAAATATTTTAATATTAAAATGCTTCTTGCAACTCCAACACTATTATTATTCTTTTAAGAATTTATTATAAAAGTTCAACGCTATTTTTTTACTTCCTCCGTGCAGTTTTACTTGTCATTCTTTTCTAAAGTAAATTTTTATTTTTACTTGTCACTTTTGACATATCAAGAAAATCTAATAATATTTTTTCATGTTTACCTTCAGCATTAAGTACTTTTTCTGTAAATTATTTTTCAAGACTTAATACTAAACATCATTTAATAGGCATAGTTTGGTAAAATATCTATATCAATTGAATAATCATTTTCAGTTTTACTTGTCACTTTTTCCTAAAATAGGTTTTCATTTTTACTTGTCACTTTTGACATATCAAGAAAAGCCAATAATATTTCTTCATGTTTACCGTAAGCATTAAATACTTTTTCTTCAAATTATATTCCAAGACTTAATATTAAACATCATTTAATAGGCATAGTTTGGTAAAATACCTATATCAATTAAATAATTATTTTCTTAATGGCTATGTCAAGTTAAAATGTAACGAGTAAAAGTGAACGGAGAGAGTAATTGTTAACTTATTATCGTAAAAGGACCGACAATGCTCCTAATATATTGAATTTGGCTCACAAATATCTTCTTTTTCCTCATTGAACAAAACATACCCTCAAGTTGTCTTTTGACTTCAAAATATCCCTAAAATTAAATGTTGATTAGGTTTAGCTTCATAACTAGCCATATGTGGCAATATATGATTGATCCATATAGTAATTCAATAAGAATTAAACCACCCAACCTATATATTAGAGGAAATTTGTTATTTAAAACAATCAATAAATATTCCATATATATAAAAAATATATTATTAAAAGTAAAATGAGAAATTTAAAATTTAGTACTATTAATTATAGAAAAATATTCATATTTTTTAATTTTTTTTAACTTTTTTTGAAATTGTTACTAATATAAATTAAGATGATGTGAAATGCGTCCAATTTAATGGGGTCCAAAATCCAAACCAGCACGGGTTCCTCCTTAGCTAGCACTTATCCGAATAACTTTACATGTTTTGTCATTTGTCATAATCAATTTTAATCTCAAGTTCTGATATTATTCTTAGCTTTCTCAATTATATTATGGAACTATACTATAAAAAGTTTTTAACTTTATCTATTCTTTTCGGAATAATTCTATACATAGATATCTCAAAGAGAATAGAGATGACCAACACTGCTTTATAAGAAAGACAAGAAAATCTATAGTGATACACCGATACGATTCTTCTATCTTAGTTCTTAGCGGTTGAGTTTTGGACTCCAATAATTAATTCAGAATTTATTCGAGTCATACAATATTATCGGTTATTTATATTTTATTTTTAAATAAATTAAAATTATTATTAATAATATTGGTATAATTTAACTTTCGAAAAATAAAATATGATAATTAATATATTTTCGAGTAAGTAGATATTACTATTTATTCAAGGAAAAAAGGACAAATTTATCTCCGAACTATGTTAATGGTATACAAATACCCTTCGTCATACTTTTCGTTCATCAGTGCCCCTGCCTTCCAAAAATCAGTGCACATTTGCCCCTCCCACTAACGGAAATAGTTATTTGATACACGTGGCGCAAGCCTACGACTCAACCCAATTTGATCAATTATTTAAGGGAAAAGGGTCTGATTTACCCCTGAACTTTATGATTTGGAGCTGATATACCCTCCGTTTAAAAAGTGGCTCATATATGCCCTTGCTGTTATAGAAATGGCTCATATATGCCCTTTTACTTAACAGACCAATATTTAATAAATTAAAATTTTATTTTTTTGTCTTTAATTTGAGAAAATGCCATGTGGCTTTTAAAATACCCCACTCAATAACTTTTCACCACGCCCACCCGACCCAATTGGAAACAAAACCCCTGCCCATTTAAATAAATCAAACCCATTTCATTTCATTGTCTCCCCAATTGGAAACAAAACCCCCAGCCATTTAAAGTTTACAATAGTATTTTGATCTATTAGCTTTCTAAATTTTCTGAAGAAATCGGTACCTCTTTTTTTATTTTATAAATTGTTCAATTTTTTTAATCGTCCCAGAGAAATTGGTGAACAAGCAAGCTTCTACTAAAACTGATCTTCAATGGAGATAAATTATTTTAACCGTTCAAATTGAACTGAAATGCATTGTTTTGTGTGTGTGAACTCGTCTAACTTCCTCTGTCTTTCCTATTCGTGTGTGTCATGTGCCATAGATTCGCCTTTAGTAAATTTTATTGAATAAAAAATGCTTTTGCAGAATATTAGAGCCACCAACAGTGATGATGCCTTCTACAAGTATTGCCAAAACTCTAGCAAGGCCAACATCTTACACTATAAATTTTTGATGAAAAAACTGAAACTTCCCTCGTCAATGGAGCTCATGATACTGCCAAGCTTGCTGGTTTTCTTGAGATTTTCATCAAGAAATGGAATGAAATGGGTTTGATTTATTTAAATGGGTGGGGGGTTTTGATTCTAATTGGGTCGGGTGGGCATGGGTAAAAGTTTTTGAATGGGTATTTTAAAAGCCACGTGGCATTTTCTCAAATTAAATACAAAAAAAATGAATTTTTAATTTTATTAAATATTGGTCTGTTAAGTAAAAGGGCATATATGAGCCATTTCTATAACAGCAAGGGCATATATGAGCCACTTTTTAAACGAAGGGTATATCAGCTCCAAATCATAAAGTTCAGAGGTAAATCAGGCCCTTTTTCCATTGTTTAATCCAAAATTTTAATACCCGCCCATTATCCATTTAACCCGCCCATTACCCATTTAACCCACACAAATAAAAACGACAGCGTTCTTTTTATCAGAAATTGAAGAAACAGAGCTCACATGTCTTCATAGGTGGTGAAAGCACCTTGATGAATTGCACAGTGATTCATCTTCTCTCTAGTTTGGTAGTAAGATTTAATTGAAGAAAAACGTGTGTTTCAGGAAAAAAATAAGAAGTTTTAGGTAAGAGCTCATATAAAATTTCAGCAGATCTAGAGTGATTACTCCCCTAATTATAAATTTTATACGAATTATGTGAAGAAAAATTTTACAGATCTGAACAAATGATAAAAGGAATCGCGAGGCGGAGATACGTGTGCGAGTGCTTTTTGACCTTTTCGTTGAGACAAACGAAGAAGCAGCCGGCAAAATCAGAAATCAGAGCGAAAATCATTTATTTTGAGAAGATCATTCACAGAAACACCTAATATTCATAGCACATATACAACTTCTGAGAATAAATTAGAGATGTATTCGACTGGAAAACTAGAGATCTTAATTTCTTCAAACTTTCACACAATAAAATTACTGCAAAGAAAATTAATTAATCGATTATCAGCTAAAGTTAATTGGATTTACTTCGAAAAACAGCTCACCTATTCAATCTTCCACATGATTTACAAGTAATTTTCAAGCTATAAGTTGCCGCAAAACACAAGCTCAGGCAAAAAAAATCCTCAAAAAACGCATACTAAACATGACAAACAATTTCCTCAGCAAAATCATGTGAACTACTAACAAAAATCTTCAAATAAAATCATGCAAACGGGTAAGGGCATCTCCAACCCAATCCTCTATTTTACTCTCCAAATATAGAGTTCTCTATTTTTTCAGACAATCAACTCCAATCCAATTCTCTAAAAAAGAATTTTTTTCTCTCTCCTCAATATTATATTATTATTTATATTTCATTCTTATTTTCTTATTTCATAATATAAATCATTTCTTCTTTTTGCAAATAATCACTCTATAATCTTTACGTAATACAATTTTTTTTTTCAAATTCTTCATTAATATAAAATTATATTTTATTCTAAATTTCTAAATAACATAAATTGCAATACATATTATATATAATACATATTAACGAACAATTCAAATAAAAATGAACTCATTGATGAAATATAATTGCATCATAAATATTGTATTATCGTAAAATTTATTTTAAATTTTACATAAATACTCAACTTTTAAGACTATTAGGTTACTCTCATGAATAGGGGTGTTCATCGGTCAGTTCGGTTTTATGTATTATCGGTTCGGTTTATCAGTTTTTGGTTTTTAAATATGTTAAACCAATAACCAAACCAATAATATATTTTTTATCAGTTTTGGTCCTTAACGGTTCGGTTTTCGGTTTAACCAATAAGAAAATATTTATAAAACAAATATATGACTTTTCTAATAAATTTGATGCGAAAACACAATAATGTAACTTTACAAAAACTGATAAAATAGAAACAATAATAACAAAGATGAAAAGAACTATACAAGCGTAACACAAAGAGAAATTAAGAGGAATATGGTTCTTACTTTAGATTTTAACGTTTTTTATAATGTGAAATTGTGAACTCAAATCCATTGTGAAGTGTGAATTGAAGGCTAAAGGACAAAGATAGTAACTACTAAGGAATTAAGATTAATATATAATATTTATGTACAAGTAAAAGTAGTAAATTACTAGTCTTAATGGGTTATCGGTTTACCAAATAACCCAATATTAAAAACCAATACCGAACCGATAACCCAATAACTTTTTTTATAAAACCATTAAAAAATCGTTAACCCAATAACCCAATAACAATAAACCAATA